GGTGGCTTGGTGCGCCGGTGCCAAGATAGGGATATGGGTTCCGTCTATCGCCCCACCACAGTTTGGGAATCCCATTGCAGCAAGCCATCCACTATGGTCTGCACGTTTCCCAGAGTCACTACCCTTGATATCACCAGGTCTCTCATTGCCCTGGCAACTTGGATCACAGCAGCCCCCACAGTAGATTTGCCCACTCCAAATTGATTCCTGACTGACCGGTAGCTGTCTGGCGTTGCAAGCTTCCACAGGGCTATCGCCACTCGCTTCTCCACTGTGAGGGCTGCTCTCATCCTGGTATTCTGGCGCTTCAGGGCAGGGGAAAGCAAGTCACAAAGTTCCATGAAAGTGCCCTTACGCATGCGAAAGTTTCGCAGCCACTGGGCATCGTCCCAGACCTGCAACACGATGCGGTCCCACCAGTCTGTGCTTGTTTCCCGGGCCCAGAATCGGCGGTCCACGGCATGAACCTGCCCCAGTAACACCATGATTTCCACATTGCTGGGGCCTGTGCCTTGTGAGAGGTCCATGTCAATTTCCTCATCACTATCGTCGCCGCGCTGCAATCGCCTCCTCCTCAGCTGGTCCTGGTTTGGCTTTGGCATGTCCAGGAGGCTCTGCATGTTTTCCAGGACAATGCGCGTGGTGTTCATAGTGCTCATAATTGCCGCGGTGATCTGAGCGGGCTCCATGATCCCAGTGCTGGCTATGGCGTCTGGTCTGAAAAAAGGCGCGAAAGTAGTATCTGACGGACCAGGGGAAGAAGGGAGGGAGGGAGAGAGGGAGGGGTGAGTGACGACATGGCGTACAGGTACAGGGAATTAAAATCAAGAAAGGTGGCTTTGCATCAGGGAGAAACACAAACAACTGTCACACAGAATGCCCCCCCCCCAAAGATTGAACTCAAAAGCCTGGGTTTAGCAGGAGAGAGGGGGGAAGCAAATGAATGCAGAATAAATCTATTTTTTACATCTTAAGACGACGGTGCAGCATGACTGATAGCCCTCGGCATTTTCTGGGTGCTTGGCAGCAAATACTGGGCGCTTGGCAGTAAGCCTTCAGGTCTATTGCACGATCTGATACCCACTGCAATATGACAATGATGGATACCAATCGTAATATGCTATCTACTGCCCAAAAGGCAAGGGGTTGCTGCTGTGTAGCAATCTAGCCCCACGTCTGCCAGCCCCATGTCTGCCAGCACCCAGATCGCCATCGGCCTCTTCTGGGTGCTTAGCAGACAATACTGGGCACTTGGCAGAAAATAGCATACTACGACTGATAACCATCATTGTCTGCCCGGGTGCCCATGATTGACAGCCGCTGCAGTACGACGACGACGGATACCAGTCGTAATAAACCATCTTCTACCAAAAGGCAAGGGGCTGGTGCAATGCAGCACCACGGCTGCCAGCCCCACGGCTGCCTGCACCCAGATCGCCAATGAAGGCTACCAGTCATGCTGCACCGTCTACCGCCAAAAGGCAGTAAGCTGCTGCTGCTGTTTAGCAATGCAGTCCCACGTTTGCCGGCACCCGGAAGAGATATGGTGACGGTGAGCTGAGCTGAGCGGGCTCAATGCTTGGCGTGGTATGTTGTCTGCACAGGTAACCCAGGTAAAAAGGCGCGAATCTATTGTCTGCCGTTGCTGTGACGGCGGGGGAGGGGCCTGACGCAATGTACCCAGAACCCCTCGCGGCACTGCTTTGCATCATCCGGGCATTGCGATCTCAACCCATAATTCCAATGGGCGCCGGAGACTCCGGGAACTGTGGGATAGGTACCATAGTGCAATGCGCCGGAAGTCGACGCTAGCCTCGGTACTGTGGACGCGGTCCGCCGACTTCATGCACTTAGAGCATTTTAGGTGGGGACACACACAATCGGCTGCATACAACCGGTTTCTATAAAACCGGCTTCTATAAATCCGACCTAATTTTGTAGTGTAGACATAGCCTTAATTTGCCAAAGTGACTAGTGATCTTGTGTCTCAATTTTTGGGGACTCAACTTGGGACATCTTAAAGGGTGTCAGAAATGGTGAGCATCTGCCCTTGAAAATCAAGCCACTTTGGGTTATTTCAAGTTGGGGATTCAAAAACAGACACCCATAATCATTTTGAAAATTTAGGCTCCTGTTCGTAGTTTGAATCAATTCAATATTTTGTTGGTTTTAAGTCTTTAAATGGGTAATAATAAATTAGATCTGCTACTGAGCTGCAACTTGGCACACCAAGGGTCAAACCCACAATAATTTTGAGTAGCCAAGTAATAAACCTGCAAAGGTAGGAGAGACAAAAGAACAGACTGATGTGGTATTTACAATAGACACACTGCCCGCTTTTGCACTAGCTCCTGCCAACTGTACCTGGCCTGGTTCCACTGACAGGAACTTCTCATAGAAGTATGCATTATGCCTGGCAGTTAAGTATCTGCAGAATCAGATGCTAAGTTCCCACAGGAACTAAAACCATCACAAACCTGACCACCTTCCTTTCCCAGTGCAAACTGTACATGCGTTCTCTAAACACACACACACACACACACACACACACAGAGCAGCATACACATTTTTTTAATAATACCAAAAGCCCACCAAAACACTACACTGCATGCACAGTTCTCTCCAGTGGGGAATGGAGGAAAGACAAAATGAATCACATGTGACAGCGTTACTCAAAGCACGACTGAAACGTGCTCAGATGCTATGGTGAAGAGGGAAGTATAAGAAAAAGAATAGAATAAGGTGTTATTTCCCTGTAGTACCAGGAACAATGACATAATTATACACCAATAAAGGGTATAGTTGCTTGAACATGCTACAAAGATTTATCAAAACTTCAAGGCCTCAGAGGGATACATTTTAAAAAGAGGTAGGAGATGGTCCTATTTCAATGGGAAGGTGATTTTGGTGACCCAGCTGGATTTTATAGTGATAAAAGGAATTGTAAAAACTGATGCAAATAAACACTACACATTTGCAAAATGTTAGAAGCAAGTAAGCTTCATAAACCTAAAGAAGATGATCTGAAAATGATAATATTGGCAGCAAAAAAGAGGTTAGGTAAGATTACTTCATGAAAAGGTTACACAACTCATGTTTATAAAAGGCCAAATGAAGCGTGAAATGTCAATGAGTAAGGGCCTTTAAACAAAGAGGATGGAGAGATAAGGGAAGAAAGAAGCATTTGGAAACTGTACAAAACAGAGGAGGGCACTCAGGATTGGTCCAGTGGTCTTTCCGTCTATTCATTCACAGAATGTCTTATGAAAATATGTTTATTGTTTTTATTACCAATAACAACCAACAACAGCATTTTAAACTTCGATCAGAAACAAAGAGGGGAACATGGACTGGGTAGTTCAGTGGATTGGTAATTGCCTTTCACTTTTATGTTGCCAAGCCTAGCCCAGGCTGATAATGATCAACAATTGTCACTATATGAAAGCTGATCAGTGGCCTGTGTGAAATAAGTTTGGTAGGTTTCAATCCACTCCCTAGTTACCACTCCACTAAGTGGCACCAATCAGAGACCTCAAGGGCTGAGTGGGCATGGCAACTGAGCTATTTTCTTACCCTTAGAGATGGTTCCTAGGTCAGAACTGAGGTACACTGATGGGAGAGTCTGACGGAGTGGGAATTTTTCTTAATATTTTATATCAATATTGTGTGTGCCTCAGTTTTCCCTATGTGATGCCGGGTTAACTAGACGGTGGGAAAAGGTTGTTTACTCTTTGCAGAGACCCAGAGATACAGGGGTGACTGATGTCTAGCTGTCTGGGACCTGGGTCCCCATGCCCATGGAGAGCCCAAAAAGGCAATGGCCACTCCAATTGCCCGGACATTTGGCACATAGCAACTAAAGACCATGGATGGCCAGCCCTCTGCAGGAAGCCAGCCAGGTATGACCAGCTGGAGAACAAAGGAGAAGGGCCAGGTGACAATGTTTGCCTGGGAACAGGAACAAAGGACCAAGGAGGGGCCTTGTGGGGTTGTTAAGTATGGGCTGCTGGAAGCAGGAGACGCTCCTGGACTGGGACTGAAGAGGGGTCAGAAAGCTCTGTGCTCTGGGACTGACCAAGGACTATGCTGTCACTTTCTGTTCTCTATGTTAACCGAGGACTTTCTATGCTGTGTTCTGGGCATCTAATAAACCCTTCTGCTTTTACAACGCTGGCTGAGAGTCATTCCAGTTTAAGGAAGGTGGGGGTGCACTGCTCCCTTGGGTGTACAAGTCTCTCTCAGGTGGACTCACTCCTAGTGTGAAGCAAGGGTGCTGAAGGCTCCGAGGTTCAGTCTAAGGAGGCGATAAAGCTAAGTGGCTTTCCCTAGTGGGAGTGTGACCCTAAAGTGGGTCTGGCACACGGAAGGGGTTCCTCCGAGGGACTGTTCCAGAGCTGCTCAAGAGCACCAGACCTGTGGATCCGTGAGAGGGAGCATAGGGAAATTTTCCCTGACGCTCCTCTTTGTGCCTATGTAGAAGGCTTCAGACTCCAGATTTGTCAATCTGGCACCTTTTGGAAGCATTGTTTTCATTCACATATTTTATATATTTGTGACTGTTTTATTGCTCTCTATATACACTGACTTTATATGGTGATTTTCACACACTAACAACTCAAAACAACTTTTCAGAACAATTAATTGCATTCTAGTGTTGTCATAGTGTGATTTAAAAAAGGCATATGCCCAGCTGTACGGCAGCTACTGTAAGATTGCAAATATGTTATTTGGCCAGAATTCTGGTATTATCCCTACCATTAGACCGTCACTATTTAGCGGAACCACTAGATGAAGAGAGAATAAGCTTCAATTTGACATATCATCGGAGAAGCAGATGTTCAGTTTCCACTGGCAATTAAGATTCCTGATATTGCTGCCTGGGTACATGTAATAATGTTAGGTTTTACCAGAATAACAATTTTAGTTTGTAAACTTAGGAAAAAAAGTTATGCTTCATTAACGAGTCTGTAAATAATGATTGTGTGAAATGAATTCACCACCTTCTGCATCAGGATCTTCAAATGGGTTTAATTCTGCTGCATCAGGATCTTCAAATGGATTCGAACTGGAATTGGCCAAGTCTTGCTCCTCTTCATCCAAAAAATTAAGCTTGTTGATAAGCTCTGGAAAAAAATAAAGTATTGTTTCAATATGGCCACAGCCAACCCTGGATACTAACTGTTCACAAAACACATTTCAAATTCAGAAATTCACACCAGTGGTCCCTGAGAACAATGAACTGGAGCACATTACCAACCGCAAAACTAAACTAATGTATTTTGTAGCACGCCAACGTTTCCAGCCAGAAGAAATGAATTGAATAAAATGTGTTCATTGATGAGTACTAACCCACTACACTGCCACAGTAGCCTTCTGGACTTAATCTGATTCAATAAATTTTGCAGTGGATCTAGAAAGCTAAATACAGCAACTTGATTTCAAAATATGAATGATTCATATATTTGTTCACTGTCAATTCTCTTCTTTACATGTAACATTCACGTAAAGTGAGAGAAGGAATGTTTTGCAAAGTTATAAAGGTTAAGCATTATTCACTGCACAAATTGTGTTTTAATGATGTGGTTTTTCTTTCCGATTCACAATCATGTGACAATGCAGTAGCTGAAGAGAGAGACTCTATCATGTTGTTACCTGTTCGATGTGCTACAAATTACTGAAAAATCACACTGGATGGAAAGCACAATGATAAAAGTGACAGCTGAATACAAGCAGAAGTCAAAAGGTAACAGGGCACAGTAAATACAGACAATCAGAAACAGAAAGAAAGGAGGAAAGCTCATAGACCTTCAGAGGAACTGGCTGATTTAGCTGAAGGCATATTTGCTTGCTTTATGCAGTCATCTTGATCTTCATCTAAGCTGCTCAGAGCATTCAACTGGTTTACAATTTCTGTAAACAGAAGCCAGTCAAGACAAATGTAAGGTAGGGTTATTTAAAGAAAAAGCTGTAGAAAGCATGCTATTACTAGAGAAACAGGGAAAGAGAGGACACTTATTGTTAATGAAAAGAATACATTCAGAATGAATCATTACAGTGATATATAATACACTTATGCACCTGTATGAAACACTTCAGCGCTATTTTTAACAAGAAGGAACACAATAAGGCACATACTGAACAATTTTTGATGGGTGCCCACGACCAGCAGTCTCAAGGTTAACAAAAAACTTAAAATGAACACAGACATCAATCTAAAAACTAGGTATGCTAAATATAGTTATTTTAACAGTTTCCCTGTTGGTAAGTAAAACTTGAAATTAATAGTATAAAGTTAGCTTAACACAAAAAGATTGAGGCTACAACAATATCAGACACATACACTTTGATTATGCCTCATTAAGAGCCAATCTCCATCAATTTTCCACCTAAGATACACCCAATTTTATAATAATTGTATGTTAGTGACCATGTTGTTTACTACAGAATAAAAGAGGCTGCAGTAATTTAGGGCCCGATTCTGCCATTCTTATTCTTAGTAATACCTTTCTCATTGGATAGATGGCAATGAGATTAGAGGGCCGGATCTGGCCCTTTGGGAATAGCTCTGAAACCAACATTTTAAAACAGAACCAAATAACTGCATTAAGGTTCCTTCTGAGTTAAAATAATCTGGGTATTGTTACTTTTAGGCTTTATGCACTTGCTTAAAATGATGCTCACTCAGCTTGGAGGAAATTAAGACATGATGATAAAACAATAGGAAAAGCAATGGCAATTCATGTGCCACCAATTTACAATGAAACAAATACTAAAAACAGTGAGGAAAGTATTATGGAAGCGCCACTCATGACTCCATAATTAAGCTTGAGTTGAGTTTGCACTTAAAGCAGGGATTCAACCAATTACCGGTAATTACAGATGAAGGATACAGTGTATCCTCCCAAATTTACAGCACTTATGCCACCTTGCAGAAACAACATGAGTTTAAAAAAAAAAATTTAATACATCTTTAAAAATCAGCTCAATCTAATATAGGACTATGAACTATTATGCATTAAGCAGAATTGTATGGTAATTGCATAGTGTCATTACAAGGTAGACATAAGGCTTTTGAGATCCTTGGAATGTTTTACCTTTAAGTTACTGATACATACTCAACTTTAACTACGCTGTACATAGTTTTACTTTTCCCAGACACAAACTACCACTGGAAACTAAAGTTGCTCAAACAGAAATCTCTATTTTCCAAACTGATAAAAAAAAGTCACAAATCACACAGAGGTGAAAATTGAGCAACAAAAGCGTTGCTGTGATGTTATCTGATTAAAATATGACTATATAGATCATTGTTGCAACCACTATTATATATTTGCAACGAATCTTGTACAAAATGTGGCATGTAAGATGTCTATGAAAAGGTTATTATTTGCTGGTTAGGATTACGCTATTTGTATGCATGTATCGTTTTTGTATTTGAAGTTATGAATATTGGCTCTATTCCTGGATTTCAAATGTTTGCTCCTGGGGTAACGCACACGAGGTAATTAGCCAGCATATCTTGGAGGGACTATTCTAATTGAGTGGCCCATCAAAAGGACTCTTAACTCACAATGGACCATGGGAGATGCCCATCTCCACCGACTGAACTGTCCTATAAACGTGCTGTCTGGAATATAGGTAATGGCTTCCTGCAGTGACTGAGCGATATGGGGCATAAACATCTGACTTGCTCATGTGATCTGGTCACCTGTGATTCTCCACTACCTCTGCTGAGGTTTTTGTTTGAAACAATGGGCTTCCGCCCACATGGCAGAGGATATAAATGGCCCTGGAAACACCTCCATTTTACCCCTGTCCTGCCTAAATCTCTGGACTGCGCACTTGCACTAGTGGGAGCATTCTAACCAAGGGACTGAGGTCCTTCCAATGATTTGGAAGCAACAAGAGACTTACTAAGCCAGCAGTTTATTCCATCACTGCTACAAGCCTGAACCAAGAACTTTGCCCTTACTGTATGTACTTGATTCCTTTAACCAACTTCAACTCTCACCTTTCTTTCTTTTTAGATACTGAAGTATTGGCATCAGCGTGATTTTTGGGTAAGATCCAAGTTATATATTGACCTGGGTGTGTGGCTGGTCCTTTGGGATCAGAAGAACCTTTCACTTAATGAGACTGGTTGTACAGAACCACTCATCTCTAAATCCAGGGTTTTTGGTGATGACATAAGAACTGGAATGCCCAAGGAAACTGCTTTTATGACTTTTTGTTAGCCATTGTGGTGAAACAGGAGTTTATTTTTGTGGCTGGTCTGATATATTTTATGAAAGATATGGGTTGTGTTCGCCCTATTTCTCAGCAGTTCATCCTGAATTTGGCATCCTCAGTTGTGACCCAATGAGGCATGGTTACAATTGCTCTAACTGATGCTGGCTGCCCATAGCTCATCAGTAAGGCTGGGAGTGTGTCACGGGGCTTCTGCAGTGGCCAGTGTGGCTGGCACCAGGGCCAGTGCAAGGAAGTTTCGCGCCCTAGGCAAAACTTGCACCTTGCGCCCCCCCCAGCCCTGCGGCAGCTCCCCCCACACACACCCTGAGGCACCCCCGCGGCAGCTCCCCACCCCCCCCGGCCCGGGGAGCCGTGCGGCACCTCCCCACCCCAGTTCACCTCTGCTCTGCCTCCTCTCCGAGCATGCCGCCTGTGCGCTAATTCTCCTCCCAGGCTTGCGGCGCCAAACAGCTGATTGGCGCCGCAAGCCTGGGAGGCGGGAGAAGTGGAGCGGCAACTGCGCGCTCGGGGAGGAACGCCGTTAAAAAAAAAAAAAAAAAAATTGTGGGCACCGCTTTTTGGCGCCCTCAAAGCTTGGCGCCCTAGGCAACCGCCTAGTTCGCCTTAATGCTAGCACCGGCCCTGGCTGGCACATGGGCCACCTGAGCAGTTCAGGCAGCCCCTGGGCCAGCCGCACCAGCCACTGCTGGAGCAGTCATCCACCTCCCACAGCAGCAGCAGGAGTTTGGGTGGGGGGCTTGGCTGGGGCGCAGGAGGGGGCGAGGGCTCTGGGCGGTGCTTACCTCAAGGAGGCTCCCCAGAAACAGTGATATCCCTCGGCTCCTAGCGGAGCCAGGGAGCTCTGTGCACTGCCTCCTCCTGCAGGCACCACCCCCACAGCGCCCATTGGCCACAGTTCAGCTGCAGAGTCAGCACTCGGGACGTAGGCAGTGCGCAGAGCTGCCTGGCCACGCCCTCCCTAGGGGCTGAAGGAGGGGGATGTCACCACTTACAGGAGGCACAGAGCCGGGTAGGGAGCCTGCCAGCCCTGTCAACCCCCGTCCCTCCCCAGCATCCCTGGGGGTCCTGAGTCACCATCCCCAGCACTCGCGGGCCGCCCCACCCCCCAAGATTTAGTCAGGCCTATATAGTACAAGTCATGGATAGATCACAGGCTGTGAACTTTTGTTTACTGCAGAGACCTGTAAATGACTTTTACTAAAAATACCCATGACTAAAACAGTATTACTCATCAAGGGACGTTCTTACAACTGGCCGCTGGTGGGATGCAGAGATTCCTTGGTCACCCCTTTCCACTGGACATAAACCACACACTATCCTTTGATGCAAAGAAACCAAAAGTAGGGCAAGGATCTGACACAGAATCTCTAAGTATTTAAGACATGGAGCCAAAAGTTGCTTTAATAAAAATCTTAGATTTGAATGTTTTGCAAAGACGTACTAACTCTGCCACATAAATACGTAACTGATTTCCAAGTAGGAAGATGCAGTACAGTCTATTCTTAAGATGGTGCAGCCATCCCGGAACACATCTCAACCACATTAGCTTCCTAAACAGCCTTGGTTTTACAGGACTTAAACGTAGTCAATTTGAAAATCAGTCAGCTTAGGAGTCTTAAGCTCCTTCTTGTTCAGCTTCAACATACAAAGACTTGCTGGAAATCTGAACAATGTAGTAGCTACATTTTGAGATTTCTTTTGGACTCAAAACATAGACTGACAGATGTATTTCTTTACTCAAATGAAAAGCTGAATATAAGCTTATAAAGCATAACTATGAACAAATAACTAGTTAAAACAATGTGCCAACATTGAATTCTTTGATGTTGTTTGAATCATGTGGTCCCATCTGCCGCCCTAAACACGTATATGC